TTGTGTGTGTGTGTGTGTGTGTGTGTGTGTGTGTGTGTGTGTGTGTGTGTGTGTGTGTGTGTGTGTGTGTGTGTGTGTGTGTGTGTGTGTGTGTGTGTGTGTGTGTGTGTGTGTGTGTGTGTGTGTGTGTATGTTTGTGTGTTTGTGTGTGTGTTTCGGTCCTTCATTGAAGTTTATATATTGTTTCTCATTTTCTTACCTTTGTATTCATTTTGCGTATTGAATTTAATCTATATAATAAAAATTTTTTCATTGGTTTTCAGATTTTAACAGATATAATTTCTTTGTTTCCTTTTCCTTTTTCTTTTTTTATTTTTGTTTTTAGTTATTTTTTTCATATATTGTGTGGTATTTAAAGTAAAACAAAAACAACAACAATTTGGCTAATTAATAGGCAAAGAACACTTTTAAACACTTTATTAATAATAATAATAATATAATAATAATAATAAGCTGTTTTAAGCAAATTTGAAGCATATTTTCTTTATATAGGTTAAAAATTATAGAAAAAAAATAAAGCCCTTTGATATCGAATGATTTTATTCCAAAATTGATTTATAATGATCATTGTCATATATTGTCTAAAATTTTCAATAGATTATTTAATTACTATGTCGCCCTTAAATGTATCTTGTCTATGCAGTTACAATGCAATCCGGAATCATTTAACAATTCTCGTTATCGAGGAAACTCGGGCATTTAGTTGATGTTAGCTCGATATCGAATATAAAATAACATAGTTGTTAGCTTGCAAGCAAAATGTCTATCCAGCTTCTTATTTAAAGGGCAAATAATTGTACATATATCGATAATATCAAAAATAGCCCGTTATAAGCTCGAGAAGCACAACTTCAAAACCAAAAAACGATCGTAACGTGTTTGTCTTTTGTATCGTACAATACAACGACAACGAGAACCTCAAACGCACCCCAGATGTTGTGCGATAGAAAAGTAGACATGATCTTGTACACGGTAGTCAAGAAACTCGGAAGGCGTTGAATAACGTCACATATCCATCCATCATAAGGTGAAGACTTCATGGCGGATACATACGATGTTATAAAAATATGATATACGTTTTCTAAGGCATGCCACATGCGTGCAAACAGACACAGGGAGACGGACGGACGAGCCAAATTGACTTGAATTTCTACATAGATCGAAGGTATATGTACTTTATATGGCATCTGGTGCAAAGTATAAATCTCGCATTCTCTGATTTCTCAATGATGGATATAAAAATCGAAATAATGGGACCGCTCTTTATAATAGATAATTTGTATATAAGACTGAATTATTATACAATGTCAACAATATCAATAATAAAAAAGACTAAGATCCGGTATGTATAAAGAAATCTGCCTCCGATCAATCCTGTTAACATCGAGATAAACATATATTAAATTGCAAACTTATGCAATTCTTTTCTACCTTTTTGACAGATTGAATTAACTGCACGCCGACGGACATATTCAGATTGGCCTTAAGTTAGTACCTGCGTTGATCATTGTATTAACAATTTTTAGAATAATATCAAATTTATTCCGTAGAAGATGAGCAGTAGTATAAACGAAATTATTACTGCATGTAAAACGGGGGCTAGCTATACAGAATTACATAACATATATATATATATATATATATATATATATATATAGATTTGTGTGTTTTGGGTAACATAGCATAAATATCAAATGTTTTTCTTTTTTTAAATGCTACGGTATATATTGTTTATTATACCCACTGCCGAAGGATGCATTCATGTCTCATGATTTTGTTTTTTTTTCGAATACACAAGGATGCAAGACAGGGCCCAAAGAGCATACACCGGACCAAGATCTTCTAATAATAATAATATGTATATATATATATGTATATATATATGTATATATATATGTATATATATATATATATATGTCCTACCAACATCTAAACCTATGAGGGCTTATTTGCATACTTGGTATTATTGAATTTCATAAAAATTGCCAAAGTTTAGATGAAAAGTTGAATTCGTTAACTTTTGCACTGACAACATATTTATTGATCGTAGGTGAAAAGATGAAAATATCTTGAAATAAAATTGGATTTCGGCAAACAAGAAAGTGCGTGAAACTGCACTTGATACGTCCAGTTGCTATACTTAGAATTAGGTAAAAAATCAAAATTTTCATAGTTTTATCTAAGGTGGTGGGTATCTATGATCCGCCTTAAGGTGAATATAGTGTTTTTTTCTTTTTCTTTTTCTTTTTCTTATTTTTATTTTTTTTCCCATTTTTTTATATTTTTATAGAAGAAATTTTTGTGTTATAGACAGAATTGTTATTATTATTACAATATATTTGTTCTATGCACCAATTACTTTATAATAATCATAATAATAAGCCTTGGTTTTCATAAGTGTGAATGAATGAGTTGAAATTTTTGATGTACTAAAGGTATTCATTTAAATGCGTAAAGCCCATACAAATTGTGCATAGAATTTATTTGCTGCAAGGCAGCTGTTTTCGCGATCATTTTTAAAATTTCAAATTGATAATCTTATCAACACAGATGTATAAATAAATGATTTTGGTAAAAAAAAAAAAAAAAAAAAAAAAAAAACTCATTTAAATGCTATGCACAAATGTTTTTTTATATACGAACATTCCGCTTTAAATTTATGCAAACAGTTATTGTATAATGAATGATTCCCGTAAAATGAGAAAGCTTTGTACAGACCTACGTAAATACAATGTACACGGGATTTAAAAGCTTAAATGAATAATTTACGGTTTATTGATTTCTGTTCTTATTCTAAAGGCTATACAAAAATTTTTTATTAATTATCGCGTCTTCTTTCTTATTTTTTGTTTTTGTATTTCATTTTATTATCTTTTTAAACCGTTTGCAGAAAACCTTTTTTTCAAGCTAATTATAATACGATTTTTTAAGTCAGTTCCCAATTGAAGCCAATGCGAATACAATCTGTTTCAAATTCTTCTTCTGCTCCAAATGCTTTTTTAGAAGGAAAGAGAGAAAGAGAGAGAGAGAGAGAGAGAGAGAGAGAGAGAGAGAGAGAGAGTTACGTTGCGAAATTTGAGCTTCTTTAAAAGAATTTTCATTTCTTCCCTTTCAAGATTCTCATTTCAATAAAATTTAATCTGATCTATATCCGAGATTTGCGATTTACATGGAGCCGGCGCAAATATTAATTCGAATAACTAAACGATTCAGAAAAATAATGAACGAAATTTATTTCAATTTTTTTTTCATTTTTTTTACATCCCTCCCCCAAGTACTCGAAATAATTACTCTATTGAGATTGAAATCGGTTTCTAACTTTAAATTAAATTTCATCAGCTAACTGTCTGAATCGTGAATTATTCGAATCGATACGTTTTTTGACTTTGACTTAATGCAGTTTTATTTGAAAAATTATTTGAAAATTTCATAATTTGGTTTTATAGGTACGTTTCAAAAATTTGACTTGTATAAATATTTAAATACTTTGAAAAGCAATTTAAGTTTGTCTTTAATTAATACTTGTTTTCTCATTAAATACATTTTCAGAATTTTATTAATATTTACATCAATCCTATATATGGGAAATTTTATATTTCAGCCTTATATTATCATATATTAATAATAATTTCATACATAAGTAAAATGTTATATATATTAAGATACGGAGTTGATCATATAATATAGGAGTATTTATTAATGGATCGTATTTAAATATGCGTTGGCTTGAGAAAAAAAATTAAAATAATAAAAAAAAAATAAATAATATATTATGACACTTGAAAACATTTATCATTTAAATCAGGAATAAGTTTTCATTCGCACAGACATTGCATTGACTTTGATCGAAATGTTGTAGATCGGAAAAAAAATTTCATTTCAAAAATGACCAAAACATTATGTTACTTAATTTCAAGAGTTTTAATTTTGAACCTAGAACATTTTTCAAATAACTTGTTACTGCATATGGCACTGGTACTAGTTTACGATTTAATTTATATCCTGTATAATATCCTCCGGGTCGGTTAAAAAGAGAAGAAAAATAGAAAAAAAATCGAGATAGCGCAAAATTAAAAGACCAGTTCCAGCGACCATATCGAGTCGTAAGATAATTCGATTTTCTTATATCACGTTCTTCTAATGGAGAACTTTTACATATATTTCTCACTAACTCTACAAAAACATTCTAGACATATTCTCAATCTCAAATTCTGGATCATACCCCGATCATATTAAAAATTTGTTTTGTTATTAAGTGTAACCGATCGATCAGTTTGAAGGTTAAACGAGCTTCCAACATGGAGAAGAACAATTAGGCGTTACAAGTGCTTCAAATTCGTTTGTGATATTGCCATTTCCCTTCAATGTCGCCGATATCTCTCGTTTTTTTTCTTTTTTTTTTTTTTGGTTTACTAGTGTGGCTCAAAAACAGCCGTTACAAGGACCAAGACTGTAAACAAAATAAGAAATTTAGTTCTGGGGAAACTAGTAGAAAACTCTTTTTCAATTATTAGATTTGAACAATTTCGCACACTTCTGTGTTAAATTAAAAATTTCTTTTTTTTAATTGTCCTAACATGTTTTGTATACACATTTTTGTCTGCCGATAAAAGTAGGATGAATGGTGAAGATCTCTGGCTCTTCGAATTTATTTCCAAATTGTTTTTTTTTTAAATAAGTTTACTTGAAACGAATATATACATGGATATATATATATATATATATAGGGTTGTGAAAAATGTAATTTATACCTTAACTTAATATTATATATATATATATATATATATATATATATATATATAAATTGTGGAAACCTCAAACATTCCAACACTCTTGCTCTATATAAATATTTACATTACATATTCATCTGATATTCATACTGAGCTGAACGTGAACGTCTAGCGCCTGAATACCAACGGTAAGGTAACTGTTGCTGCTGTTGCTGTATCAGTAGTGGTGGTAGTTGTGTTAAAGAAGAGGGAGATATGATTGTTTGTTGTAATAAATACTGAGACGTTAATGATAGAGACGAAGATGCCGTATTCAAAGAGAGACTACTGCACGGAGCCCCGGGACTACGAGCCAGTTGTACACGTAAACCTGTGACCCCGCTACCACTAACTGCACCGTGCTAGGATGTTGACGAAGGTGAAGTGTCGCCCGCATGTCTGCGTGTTGTTACACAACGTTGGTATAAAGCTAATTTTTGCGCTGTGACAGCAGCTGCTGCTGTGGTGTTGACTGATGTGGTCGTAGTACCGGTACCAGGACTAGCATCCAGATAGGCCTCTGGACTGAAACGCACACGGCTATGAGAAGAAATTGAACCTTCTTTGGCACTTAGATAAGAACTATCATCACTGGTTAGAGAATCAGGTGGTGTGGGATTAGTGGGTGTACTGCCTGCTGTACTCGGTGGAGCACCATTCGGCGTTTTATAATTGCCGCTGTTGTACTTTTTCAGAGAGGAACGTAATTTTGTGCCCGCGCCAGTGGTAAAAGCCAACTGTGATTGATCAAACGGCAAACTGTCGGGACGTTCTGGCAAAATTAATGGTGTGGGTGCTTTGAGAGGACCTACTGGCGCCGGTGATGGTGGAGAAGTACGCATATTTATCGGACTCATGGGAGTGGAGCGTGATCGCGTATAAACTGAACGTTGAGGTGTGCCATGTATTAAAAGTGCTGATGTAGTTTGCTGAAAAGGATGGGCGGAAGTATGAAGCGGCTCAACTCCTCGATAATGGTATATAGGCTTATGTAAAGGACTCATATTAAAGGGTAAATTTTCATAATCACGCATACGATTCATTGGCGTATGTTCTGATCGATTATTTCCAAAACGTTTCGTTGCCTTTGGGGAATTCTTATAAAGTTCTTGTTTAGTAGGTGGTGGCACTATCCCAGTAGGTAACTGAGTTTCTCGATAAATTCCATATTCGCCTTTATAGTTATTGAATTCATATAGAAGTGCAGATTCATCATAATCCAAAGAAAAGGTTTGATTAAAATTGGAACTGTTTGATATTGTCGAAGGTGTGCGTCGATGCCCAGCAGCACTAACTCCCATTTGAGGGACACGAGGAGGTGGCGTACGTACTTGCATTTGCGTTGCCGTTGGATGATGTGATTGTTGTGGTGCTGGCGGTGGCGGCGGTGGTGGTGGTGGTTCATAATTATAATCATAGTAGTTGGGTAAACGGTGATTGTAATCATACGAATAATCCGGATAAGATTTGCAATCGCGTTCATACGTTAATTGATGATCTGGGCGATAGGGAAAATAATTGGATCCTGGAAACAAAAAGCTTGAATAAGAAAGTTCAGGAGTTTCAGAAATGGTTAGCTTACCAAAATATCCTGCACGATGAGCTCCTGCGCCATAAGCTCCACCATCATTAGAAAAACTTGGTCCGTTCCGCAAATAGCCCATGTGGCCATAGAACGGCGATACTCTTCCGCCAGCCATTGGCATTGGTACACTTGCTCCAGTATCACCCAAGCGAAATTCTCCATAAGGCTTTAAAGCTGGCGAATTATCTTCCCGTTCTGAATACTCTAAATTTTCGGTGAACGATGAAGTGCTAATTTTTCGCCTCGGTGAAGGTGTAGGTGGTTGAGTTTGGCTACCCAACGAAGAAGATAACATGCCTGATGTGTTAGTAGTGAAATTAGACCCTAAGCCGCTCGTGGTCGTTGTTGAGATGGTAGATGGCATTTTTTTTATTGCTTGTGAAGCTTGAAAATGCGGCTGCTTTGCCTGTTGCAGCTGCTGGGGGAGTTGAAGTTTATTAAAGTATTCGGGAGGCGATTCCTTAATTGTTTTCGTTTCTTTGGTTAAAGCTCTAGTTGGAGAGCTGCAACGTGTCGGAGGTGCAGGTTGTTCATTAGGCTCATAGGTTGAAGAGTTCAAAACAGTTCTGAAAGCGTTTTATTAGCGACTTTGAAGAAGAAAACAATTTCGATAAATCACTCTAATCGCACTTACCTATTATGTTTGACTGGACCATGATAAGTATTAGCCGCAAATCTGCGATCATCTACCATATTCGGAAATTCCACTTCAAGAGGAGCTTTCAAAGCGGGCACATCACTTAACAATGTCGGATGGAAAGGTGAGACGTTTGACATGCGTACATCATAACCAGCTGCCACGCCCGCCAATAAAGCCGCCATATTATAAAGTAAAACTTCGATTACCGATAATTTGGGTTTGCGTACTGCATCGCCCGCGTACAGAGTGGGCATAGGAATATTGGAAGTAAAGCGACTTAGGACATAAGGATTTGGAGACATTATGGGAAGATTAGGTCCAACGCCGGTTATAGCCGGAATGGGTGAACACCAGTCATCTTTGGCATTGTAACCTGATTTAAGCGCCGCAGATAGAGAAACACAAAATATCGAAAGAAAAAAAATTTAACTTAAATTCATATTTGCTGAAAATTCAAATTGTCCCACACCAAGGTTTCTTTACTTTTTTTTTCTTTTTTTTTTTTTAATGTTTAGGAATCAGGGATTTATTAAGAGGGAATTGGAGAAAAATTAAATAAAATCCTTTTATTGTTATTTTTTGGTAGGTTTTATTTGTTTTTTTTTCTATTATTATTATTATTATTTTAGTGATTTTTGTGTAAACAGGATTTTTCTTTAATAATTATTATTAAATAAAGATTTATTAAATATTTGTGGTGATGTGTTTACTTTCTTATTAATTTTTTCTAATATGGAATAATTTCTTTTTATACATATAAGGAAATGATAGAGTTATTTAGCCAATAAATCTTTGCTAAAAAATAAATTTTTACAATTTTTTTTTTGCTTTTTTAAATTACAAAATATAATTAAACAAGACAATCTACACTAACACAAATTATTAATAAAACTTAAAGAAGATATTAAAATAAAATAAATTTTATTTATTTTTAATAATGTTTCCGCGTTAATGTTGGAAAAAAATTTAAGACAGCAAAACTATTTATCTAAAAAAAAAAAAAAAACTAATTAAATAAGAAATAATAAATTTAATTTAATTTAAAAAAATATATATATGTATATATATATATATGTATATATATATGTATATATATATATATAAATATACATATATATAAAGTTTTTCACAACAATACATTGACAAAAACATTGTTTTTTTGCTTTCAGGGAAATCACAGTTTAATTAAATTTTTTTTTTTTTGCTTTAGATAAAATATTTAAAAAAAAAAACTAAAAATTAAGTAATTAAAATAAGAAAAATTATATTAATCTAGTCTTTGAAAGAAAAATTTAATTTAAATAAATAAATAAATAAAAAATGAAATTTAAAATTAAAAACAAATTTTACGAAAAACATAGAAAGAATCTAAAAATAATAATTTATCATAATTGATAACATTTGACATGATATTATTTGATTGATTGGTTTGATATTATCTATTTATCGCGCATGCGCGAAGATCATATTTATAAAAATTATAGAAAATGTTTTAGTTATGGGTTTTAATTAATTTTAAGGAATAGAATTGAAAATAATCAACGAATTCGTAAAGTTTTTTATTCTTTTAACGCATCATTCTTGTGCTGAACGTTTACATAGCGTTGGTATACATTCGTATTAAATCTTTAATCAGTTTTTACTAGATTATTATCGGGTCTATAAAAAAATTCCCCTTTCAAAACAACATTTTCTTTAATGAACTTTTTTTAAAAAGTAAGGGTGTAGTGTATATATTATCTTGTGATCATCATTTCATACAAATTTAAAGGTATCGTGTCACTGTTACTTTATTAATGCACATATGGAAGGGAAGAGGGATAGAATGACGAACTATAGGTAAGATTGCAAGATTTTGGATCTAAATGATTGAAAATAATTTTCAAGTTTTGAGAAAGTAATCATTGTGAGCCATTGTGCTGGCAGAAGATAGACAGAATGATCTTCCAAGTATATAAACATAAGTCAACAAAAAAAAAAAATTTAATAAAAAAGTCGAATTTCGGCGTTCAAATGACTTTGACTCAGCTCTGTGAGTTTTCTATGCCATTAACAAATGTTTGATGCAAACTTTAGATACAATCCCTTATAGATTCTAAGTTACGCGGCGCTTGAATTACGCGCTCAACTGTTGCTGCAATTAGTCAATAAGATGTTTAAGAAAAAACAAACGGCATTTCTACATCGTATGAAATATTTTAGACAAAACACTAGCAAGAACATTATAGTCGGGCAACGGCCACGTTGTCTAACAAAATTTCTATTTTTGTATGAAAATCCAATTTTCATCATCACATATTGAAACTTACATTTTTCTCCTCTACAAAGTATCAATTTTCTTGAAAATCTTTCTTAAGTAGGCCCAGACGGTCCAAATTTGGTAGATTTTATTTTTTTATGTTAAATTACTATTACGATATAATCTTCATCATGAAACATTGAAAACATTCTTGTCTTATGAACCTTAGTTTTCGTGATATGAAAGGCGTTCAAAAATTGCTCAGTCGGTCCGGTTTTCATATCAATTTAGAATACCGAAAGCTACTTATAGTGAGAAATTTTGAAAATTCCAACTTTTTTTCCAAATAATGTCTTTTGAGAATAAGAGGATATACGTCGAGTGGGCGAAAAAGTAAATCGATCCGAACAATTTTCAACTTTGGGTTAAAGCACATCTCTGTACCAAATTTCACCAAAATATCTCGAAAATTGTGATTTGTAGCTTGAACACACATCTACATGGACAGATTTCAGACGGACAGACAGTCTTAGATTAATTCAACGTTTGCACTAAAGGTTGTTGAGTGCAATAAAAGGTTAAAAATATTTAATCGCTTAATTCATATGGTTTGGATATGATCTTACCGATCAATTATGTTTTTTCTATTCTGGCGGACCGTAATAAAAGATATTTGATAATTGATTCGAAATTCCCAAATAGAGGACGTAGGTGATAGCAAGATCAATCAATTGATATTATTTGGCCTCGAGTTCATTTCGCAATTTTTACCTTCTATAAATATAAATATATTTAGATGAAAAAAATATATTCTTTGACTAAAACAACGTAGGCACTTTGAAAATGTCCACTCGATTCGACGCACCGAAGACGAGTCTTTAAGGAGTTTAAAGGCTTTGACATCCACCAGGAATTTCTCCATAATTGCAAATTGGTGGAGCCCATCCATTCATCTATTGCAATGGTATGACCAAAACGGACTATTGCAAGTAAGTTAATCTTGACTTGATCGATCGAGGGAGTAGTGTCGATAGGAGTAGTGTGCATTTTTTTTTCATAGAACTATTTTTCATTCACAAAATCGCTTTAATTGTTTGAATTGTTTCGGAAAGTGCATTTTACAATTGAAGTACTGGGTGTTTGGAGCTAGTAAACAATCCGCATTTACCAAAATAATATCATAAATAATGAATCAATTTTTGCGGAAAAAATCTCTTATGGCTAGTGGAAACTGTTTGCACATCTATTGGGACTGCAATAGATATGCAGAAACAAAGTGCAAGGCCAGGCTCGTCACACTGTGATCAACATGATCCATAAGGTATGAGGATCCAAATGAGGAACAATTTTGATGGAATATTTTAAAACTGTCTTACGTATGATGCGAGTCTGTAGCATAAGATACCTATATTCGTGTTAATGCAAGCTAACAATTATAGGTAGGAGTTTGCACTAGAATATAGGCCAAGCCATCGAGAAACAAGAGCTCGAAATTTATGAATATAATGCTGTGACCAAGTTTTTATTTAAACTTCTTGGATACTATAAAATAATATGTGTTGGTACAATTATCTTTGACATCTAGGCAGAACTCCACGTCAATGTAATCAACTGCTGTAGAATTATGAGTTTCGCGATTTTTACTATCTATGACTGCGAAGCAATAATTTCACACTATCATAAGGTTATACGATCCATAAAAAACAGATCAGTCAAGCGAATATCGCGAGCCAATGTGAGTCAAGACCGAAAAAACCGCTCAACAGTCAAGGTAACGCTAATAGTTTTCTTCAATTATCATAGTGTTGTGTATTAAGATTTCCTTCCGTTTGACTAAGCTGTTAGCAAGAAATATAATTTGAATTTTATAAAGGCGATGACAGGCCAATTTATTTTGCGTGGCCGCAGTAGTAAATACAAGCTTTTGACTAAAGATTTTATTATGGCAAAAAACCTATAACTGTTTTCGTGAAATCTACTGCAAACTTTTTATTATTGGATCATAATTCCATCGAATATACGTTAATTTTAATTTTTTAATAAAATTATATTCTAAAAAAAAAAAAAAAAAAAAAATGTCATTTATAATATTATATATGTGTTGGTTCGAAAATGAAATCGTCTTTTAAAGGAGACACGGTAAAGCTTAATTTAGTAAAGGAAAGTGAATTAATACGTGATACATAAGTGAAAAGGGATAAGAAAATGAATATTAAATGAAATGAATTCTTTGTTTAGTCATTTTGTTTGACATCATTACATTTTCCATTTTTTTTTTCTTTTCTTTTTTTTTTTGTCTTGCTTTCTTTCTTAAAGATCGCTATAAATTAAACCCGATAAGAAATTGTAAAAAAAAAATATTTTACTATAAATTTGTAAGCAATCTGTAAGTAACTGAATCTGATAATTGAGGATTTTTTAAATTACTTGTAATCGAACCCATAACTAATTACAATAATTAAAAATAAAATAAAAGAAATAAATAAAAAAAATAAAAAAAATTATATAAAATCTTGTAAAAAAAAAAATATAAAAAAAAAAAAAAATCAAAAATCTTACAAATAATGCACACATTATCATATAAAAATATCGTAAATGATATGACACTATACCATACTATATGACACTTAAAACACTAAATGCATATTTAATTTTTTATCTATTTTAAAAAATTAATGAAAATAAGTAAATAACAAAAATCATAGAAAGTAAAGAGAAAAAAATTTTTTGCATGTTATAAAAATTAGAAGAAGAAATGGTCAGAAAGTCTTAGGTCTAAGACGAAGCTTAATGCGCTTTTAATTTAAAATGAAAGATATGAAAATTTAACTAGTAAACCATTACCTAGTATTCTTATAAAATCAGTTAAGGTTAAGGTTTCGTTTCCGTATATTTCCACGGTATAGCATGCAATTTGATTAGATAAAGACGGCAGAATTTTTATATCAAAATAAAAAAAAAATAAAAAAAAAAATAAAAAAAATCTGTTCACAATAAACAGCAAATTAAAGCAGGCAGTAGTCAGACAGAGATTTATATCTTTATTAAGTTTCTCTCTTTAGGTAAATGTAAAAAGCGAATAAGTGTTTACTCCTATCGGTTATACTTTTTCTTCTTCTTCTTCTACTTGCTCTTCTTCTTCTTCTTCTTATCTACATTTTATTGACTAAATAATTTAAGTCGTCGGTTAAGCTAGGATTGTTGGTCAATTTTCTGAAGGCACCTCAAAAGCGTACGGTTTTTGTTTTTATTTACTCCCTCTTTAATTACTCTTGATTCTTTCCGCATTTATATCTAAAAACTTTCCAATTGATCACATGATTTTGTCCGTTGTTGAGACATTCTTTGCGTATCTTCATTACCATTTTCAAATAATTTGTAAGAACTTTTCGATTTCTGATATTTTTTCTTGGAGCTTCGCAACGAACCCAATGAAAATAAGTTAATAAATGACTTGAACTTGGCTGATCCACTAGAACTGTGTTGCTGTTGTTGTTGTTGTTGTTGTTGTTGTTGATCCACACTAATCACTGATAGCTGAGAACTATAAGAACTTTTGATTTTTGATTTTCTTAATTTTTCATGGCGTTGTAAAGTCTGTTTTTGTTGCTGTTGCTCTTGCAATAATAAATTTTGTTTCATTTGTATAACCTCCGGATCCGGTTGAACATCCTGCAGCTTTCGTGTAGCTAATATGGAATTTTCAGGTATAAAAATTTGTTGCTGTTGTTGCGTAGATTCATTCGAAAGACTAAAACAAGCGGAGTGTTCATCGAAAGATTGAAAGGCGGATGAATTATTTTGGGAGCTTTGCGAGTTGGGCGTACTAGTAGTCAACTGGAAAGTTACTACCGAGGATTTTCGCGAACTTTGTTGAGTTCCAGTGTTATGAGAAATATCTAAAGAAGACGATCTGTCGGAACTAAGGGAAGTAAACTGTTCGTCTGGAGAATGATCGTGTGTAGGTTTACGAAAATGATGTGCTAGTATGGAATTCTCAGCTTCATTAGAGGGCTGACGAAAAAAGCAATGACGTGGAAATTGGGAACCTGAACCGTTACGTTGGAAACGATATGGATTTTCCATTCCGCCATCGTCACCGTTATTACCCTCTTCTGTTAAATGCGAAGTAGAGGAATACATAGTTAAATTACCACTCGATTTAGAGCTCATAGGCTCAGACCTTTGCCAATAACCTGTACAACATTGTTCAGCTGAATATTTTCGTTGTGCGCTTTTATTGCAGTTAGAAGAGAAAATTTCGTCTAAAGATTTTTGCATAGAGGTATAAAACACACGGTCATAAGTTACCTGATCCGTGTTTTGCTCACTGCTGATCATCATCAGCGACCCCCCATTAGGATTCAAAGATAGTAAAGGGTTCTCCAATCCTCCACCCATGGGGCTGGCCAAAGGGCTGATTGCTGGGGCATTTAAAGTAAATTGTTGACGTCTAGTTAAGGGAGAAAGTCGACTATCAAGCGATAGCTTTTTCCGACCCACCGCAGGACTACTACCCAAACTATTACATCCTCCCCCCAAACTATCACTCTGATCCGAAAGCGGACTTCGATCATGCAAAGGAAATTGGGAGGCATTACGTCGAAATGGAAAGCAACCTACGGTCGGTGTCAAAGCCTCTATCTCTGAGTCACTATCATCGTCGGTATTTAAACCCAATTGTCTAGGCGACTGAAGAGTAAGTAAACGTTGCTGAGGCACGGCTAAGGCGTCCAAGCCACGATCATGGCTTTTGACCATTAAACCATGCTTCGGTTTGGTTACCTTTTTCTTTTTCTTTTGCTTATTGTTCTGCCTTAAGGCACCCTCTCTAACCTGATTAGCTGATAGCTGAGTCAGAGTACTGCAATTGCTTTGGCTACCGTTACTAAGACCGCCGCCTAAGAAATTGTTACGTTTAAAAGCCATTGAATGACTATTGTTGTTACTATTATTGCTATGGATTTGTTGATGTAATGTTAGGTGGTCATTGTTATTATTATTCATCAATGTTTGCAAGATCACCGTAGATGCAGTGGAAGTTGATGATGAAGGCGACGCCTGATGTAATGTTTGACAAGCTACTGTGGTAGCGTTAGAATTGGCGATTATACCTGATGATGGATGTTGCTGATGTACATTGAAGCCATTTTTAATGTATGTGGCGGAAGAATGAGGTACAGTAGGTGAAGTCGGTTGAGAGCAACCGTTTTGTTGTTGCTGTTGTTGCTGTTGGAAGCGTGTAGTTTTTTTATCAAGATTGGGTGCACTCTTGCTAAAAGAAGAGTGTGTATTGACATTGGCATGCCATTCGGGAGACCGCAGAGTTGTGTGTAAATTGGAACGTTCACGTTGATGTACAGTCGAAGGTCCCCAAGTTTTACCCTTAAAACCGTCGGGTGATACTTTTGTAAATTATTTTAAAAAAAACAAAAAAAAAAAAAAAAAAAAATTAAAGAAAAACATAAAAAATAAATAAGCAAATGTGAGCAAACTTAAAATACAAAAAATATCGATAGTACACTAAAAATCTAATGCCGATCCTGGTCTAGAATTTCTGTCATCTAGCTTAAACCATATTCCCTTACTTACGTGCGACTATCCTTAGACCAGATATAGCTGGTGAACCGGGTGGTGTATCAGTACGTACGCAAGTCTGATCACGTATTGTGGTTATCGTATGGCGAAAACCCGTTGGAAGTGATATTTGCACTGGTTCCTTTTTCATTACTTTTAAACGCACTTTACTAAATTTTCCCCGTCTCTTATTCGGCACTGGCGTGTTCTGTGCTATTATCAATTCACGACCCATTAATTCAAGTTCTCGAGCACGCAACTGCTGTTCAAATATTTTCAAATTGTTTGCTTGTTCGTGTTGTTGCATTTGTATGCGTCGCAATTGTTCTTCTTTGTTGCGCAATTCCTGAAAATGATTAACAAAAAAGAGAAATACACAAAGTGTGGGAAATAAAATGTTTTATGTAATTAGATACGTGTATTTAATAACCCGTGATAACTAAAGAAAAGTTTTAAATAGATATATTAAAATCATGCTCATAACTTAAAAAGCGCATATTGGGCTTTGACAGGTCTGCGGCAACAATGTCAATTTTTTGTATGAATTAATTCTTGATGTTGGAGAGTAGACGCCTTTAAACCAGAAAACTCTTAATGAGACAAACCAAATCAAAAAAAAAGACAAAAGAAAATTAGTAATAAACCGACCCTTTCAGGTCAGAAGGTAAAATTCGACTCCACCATGTATTAGATAAACTGCGACGAAAGAAAAGTTCGGAAAAGTTTTTGTTAAACAATGTTTTAGTTAATCAATGATTTACTAAAAATCAAAAATTGTCTCTCCCTATGCCAAGAAGAAGCATAAGCAACTAAAAATGTGACTTAAAAGCTCAACGCAGCAGTTATTTAGGTCTACATGAGGGATGTCTCTAGCAAATAACTAATTCTATGAAAATATATGAATCGTTCCATGATAGTTTCAAACCATTGCTGCTGAGCTGAAGTCTGCTAGTCGCGGTCTTCTGTGATATTGAAGGTAAACTTCAAATCATAATCTTTCATTTGTTAATGGAGCAAAGAACTGACCGTGACAACCAGGTAATGAAAAACGGATAGGCAACGAAGAGAAAACAGAAACAATTAGGTGGCAAAATAAAAGGAAAAGACAGCGAGACAAAACAACTGTAGGAGGAAAGAGATTAAAAAAAAAAAGGCAAAAAAATTTACGATATAAAGACGTAAGGCCCAAAAAAACATCTAGTGAATTTCATAAGCCCAGCTTGTTCGATTTATGTATGAAGTGAAAAAGCATATTTTTAAATTTAAAAAATGGGCGCAAGTGCCCGTACAGACTAGGATGAAACAAGTAAGAAAATTATATTTGGTTATGACCGAATCTTTTATGCCCATCACCGTCATTCTGAAAAAGGCAAAAAACAAGCAAGAGAGCTAAATTCTCATGCTCTATAATATGTAGTGGCTCGATCGATTTTTTCTATTTCCATAACAAAAGTTTTTGTTGTATAGGCATTAGAGGTAAGTGCTTTGAAAAATTGAGGCCACTTCCAAATTTTTAGGCGACATCTTCATCTTCGCTAACTGGATATAACGCACAGACGAGGAGACAGACAGGCGGAGAGCCGAACAGGCTGGCATGCTTAGGTGCATTCCAAATTTAAAAGTTATCAAGAATTTTTTTTTTAGTTTATAGCGTCTTTGGAGCTTACTACTAAGCGTCACATAGGTATTAAAAAGAAATAATTAAAAATCCGATACGCTATAATACTGGGTAGGCGTGATCAATTTTTTCCATTTTAATACACGTAGTATTGTATCGCCCATAAAACACGCTTTCAAATGTTTGTGCATTTATCTGCGGTAGTTTATGAGTTTATGAGTAATAATCAATTTTTTATTCATTTTGGAAAACAGAGATGTTTTCAGTTTATATGGTACTGTGGACGAGCTCTTCAACTGATTTGGCCGATTTGCAATAACAATCTGCGTGGTATTGGCTAACTTGAAGTAGATAGCTTAATTTTTGCGGCCAGGATGATGCTTAGAATAGACATTGCAAAGACGGATAAATGTACAACCAGCCAATCAACAATGGTCAGTGTTTGATGCTAATCAAGATATTATATGTACTGTGTGGAGGCTCTGAAGCTTCCTTCTGGGTGTTGCAAATGTTTTGACAGGAAGTTAATGGCAAATGTTATAAATATATGATCATCAAGCGACAGCAACGAAGTGGAAACTGCAGCGATACAAAATCAATTGGAAAAATGAAAGAAGAAATTAAAAATGCTGCTGCTCATGAGTGTCACTTCATCGAAATGCATTGCATTCATAGCAGTATGGCGTAAATAAACAAGAAAATGTCGTAATAAAAGAAAGAAATAAGATCCGGAAGACAATAAAGCAATAAATACCGAAAAGGTTCAGTTCATAATTCAAAAATAAAGATTACAAATCGATAATAATTTCGTTCAGGACAGTGCATAAGATGTTAACGTGAATGACAACTTGAATAAAGGGAAGATGAAGAACAAGAAAAATTATTGGCCCAAACTGTTTTACTGTATTCGGAAATAGCCAATGGCCACACAACTAGTGTTGATGATAATGGCTATGGAGGCGCCTCAAAACAGCAGAATATGTGGCACTAATAACTGACAATATATTGATATGACCTCTAACCTGGAAAGCAAACGGACCGAGCACCGTTTTGCGAAAGACATATATTCCATTTGACCCTATGTTTATTGCCGACCCATGGGTTGACATTGTAAACAAGGTTAATGATACCTTTGATGTACCTTTGCTTCTTTATATTAAATATTTTCTACTCTTAGATAAACTCCAAGCGGAATGCGAAATGGGTTTTTATCCCGTATATCACTTGTAGTACACTGTATTTATACAAGTAACCTCAAGAGCTTGAGATAAACCCACCTGCTATTATCTAAGATTGACGCTTGCCTGTCTGTCTGTCTTATGTTCAATCTACAGGTCGGTCAATTTTGGAAGTATTTCAGTGAAATTCGGTATACTAATGTATATTTAATTCGGATTGAGCACCTTTTTCGACCACCTCCCATATAACACTACATTTTGAAAAGTCATTCTATGAATGAGTGCATTAAGCGAGTTGAAGTAAGGTATCCGGTGGCTTACTTGTTTTTTGTTTAAATAAAATTTTTTTTAATCGTTGAATTTTTTCAACTATTTAGGTAAATTTTATCACTAGTATTAGGAAAACGTCATGTACGTATATGGCGGACATAGATATTGGGAGAAAAGACGTCAATAAAAATTACAAAAAATTGAAAAATTTACATTTATAGGACACAAATTATATATATAGTTGTACGTCGTCAATGTAAGATTTGGAAGAATCAAAGGTCAAATTTAAAAAAAAAACAATAAGAATTAGCGAAAGAGAAAATAGATGGGGAAATAGGCTAGAGTAGAGAACATTCGAAAGGGATAATGTAGTAAATTGAAATTGTGCGGAAACTAATAACGTCATGTACGGGGGTGGGAAAGAATGGGCTTAAGCTAATTAGTACGTGGCGAAAGAGGATATAGTGTGAACATTTTTGCGTGTTAAAAAAACAAATTAATAGAAGGAAAATAAATTATATTTACATGCTTTGATAAAGAAGTTTGTTTCTAGCTTGGCGTTAAAAAAAAAAAAAAAACCGAAAAGTTTATGTCGAAATTAAACATTTCATTCTGAAAGGAATGCTTACCTCTTCAATGGTTTGAAAACGCTGATATCATCGAAACAAATACAATTACAATCAATGATATATCAATCAATCAATCAATCAATCAATCAATACGATAATAAAACCAATAATTTCGGAGATGTTTTGACAAAGAAAATTTTGAGATATGGAAAGTATTTAAAACAATTATTTACACATAATTATATATAGAAATAGTTAGAGAAACATAGAGAAAAATGCACTTTCGTGGTAGGTTAAGGGAAAAATAAAAAAACAAAAAAAAAAAAAATAAATAAATAAATAAATAAATAAAGGAAAATGAATGAGACTTTACAAACACTCTATCCGAGGTAAGAAATCATTTAGGAATTGCTCACCTTTTCTTTCAGGCGCAATTCGTGTAAGACTTCGGCAATTTCTTTTTTCCAACCATCTTGCATAGTGTGAAAAGATTCTTGTGGCGTTGAAGTAAAACCGGATCGAGCAATATCTTCCAGTTTCAGTAAAACATCTTTAAAACCTGGTCGATTGTGCGGGTCACTCGCCCAGCAGCCTGAAAAAATAAAGTAAAAATAAAACCTCTTTTCATAATTCTACTAAACGTTTTTTTATTAATCGCTTCATACTTTTCATGAGTTTTCCCCAAGCTTCTGGACAGGTTTTCGGTATGGGCAGAGTTAATGTATTTACTGCCACACCATAAGCTACTGATAAAGAATCAAATCCTTTATACGGTGTCTCCCCTGTAATTAGTTCCCATAGTAGGACACCATAACTCCAAACGTCTGACGATCTACAAGAGACCTGAGATATTAGAAACAAAAAAAAATTTTCAAATTTCAAATATATCGATTACTTGGAATAGGTGCCACGACTTATCACTTCCGGAGGCATCCAGGCATAAGTGCCGGCCGCTGACATGCGCGTGGTATTATACAGTTCCCGCGCTAAGCCAAAATCAGTAATTTTTAAAGTTTTTTTGTGCAAATTATCACCTTCTATGGCCTCGAAAATTAAAACTATTGACAAAAACAAAAATTAAAAGTGAAAGAAGATAGCGAAAATCTTTAATTATATAATTGATATACCATTAGAACTTTTTAAATCGCGATGTATCACCGATATCGGAGCTTCATTGTGTAAGTAGTTCATGCCTCGAGCTATTTGTATCGCCCAGTTTACTAATACATCGGGAGGTATTTTTCTACCGGCCAGTATACGGTTTAAACTACCACCGCGGGCGTATTCCATAACCAAGCATAATTTCGGCGGTTTCAGGCAAACACCACGCAAAGCAACAATATTTTCATGTTTTAGCGCCCAAAACAATTTCGCCTCTTGCAATACATTATCGCGCATAGTTTCCATATCTTCGTCGGCCGTTTGTCGGGCCGCTTTAATAGCCACCTCCTCATTACGATAGAAGCCACGATGCACCTTACAAAAACCGCCCACACCAATAACTTCTTGTATATCGAGTTCTTCATATTCAATTTCGTGTGGCTGAATATCACCGATGGCCGAAGGCACATTAATCAACATTGGATCCTGATTTGTGACAAAATTACTGGGAAATATTCCCACCTAAACGAAAAGAGAGAATATAGAATATGTTACTAAAAAATTATTATTAATTCACCAACCAAGGTGCTATAAAATGCAGAAATTTCACGCTAGTTTCAAAGGGAAGAAAATAGAAGGAAGGCACAAAGAATGGAAAGCAAAAATCTATGTAAATGAAAGTATTGACACTGCGAAAGAATAAAAGATGAACCTGTACAAAGACGAAACTAATCTAAGGGCTAACCACCAAATATTGAATGAGCAAAACTATAGGGTAGAAACTTGTTGTGCCCAATAACTCAATGAGCAACAGATAATCACAAAACGATACATGAATGGATGGAGAAGGAAAGGCGAATTATTGGAATCATTGCGGAAAGAATCTGATCAGAGCCTGAGGGACGTAAATAGACAAAACGAAAATATATCTCAGCAGAAATACTAAATTCTGGCATACTGATCATTGCCGCATATATATCTTAAGCAAAAATATAAAAAAAAAAAAATAAAAAAAAAAAAAACAATGAACTGGATAAGAAGAAAAAGAAAAACAAGTCAAAGAAACAAATCCATCAGAAACTAATGATGACAAAGAAGGACTTTCAAAATAGATAAATTGGTTGAATATGTGCGCACATTATACAAAAACATAAAATGTAGAAAGGAATATAAAGAAGACTTTAAGAAGAAAAGATAGCGAGAGCATCTGAGAATAGTAAAGAATCAAGAAGGGCGAGTAGTCTTCCAAAAACAATGAAGGTGTAATGGCAACAGATCGATATTGTTATCCCAGCAAACAATCGGTACAATTAAAAAAAAAAAAAAAAAAAAAACATTAAACAAGAGTGAAAGGAAGATCTTGAGAGAATTACAAACTTGTTTGAATCTTTTGAGAATATATCTTGAAACATATTAAAGTTTTCATATATCAAAGTTTACGACTGAATCATTGTTTGCAACTTATTCGAGAATTGTTTTATTTTAATTTCTCATTTGCTCACGATAACGTTATGTTTGCCATCATCATTCAACGATCGTTGTAATCCTGTCCTGATTAATAGAAAATCGAAGATATTCTAGAGTAATCTCAATCGACGCGCAGTTCGTTACATGTCTACCTGTGCTAGTTGTGCACAGATAGTGCAATAATAACGGGTACGAAAATAGTTATGGCCGTACTCAGGAGCGTTAATGTTGCCTACCATTTATTTACTGCGTATGCTTCTGGGAAATTCAGTATCCTCGGACGAAGTGAAAAAATTGAATGTCCGCGGCGACATAACGAAGACAACTTAAAAAAAAAATAAAAAAATGGGGAGTGCCGTTAATCAAGATCTCTGTACAAAAAAAAAAAAAAAAAAAAAAAAAAATCTCACGAAGAGGAAGAATAGAAGCAAATGTGTTATTGATGTATGGGCCCAATATAATTTCGCATAGATTCTGGTTACTTACCTTATCGCCGATTTTCCCAATCCACCAACCTTCGTCGCCCGATATGTTTGGATCCATTGATAATACCAGCACCACTTGGCCACGTTGCAGTGATAATTCGTCTTCACCTTGGGCTTCATAATCGTATAAAGCTGTCCATAGACTGCTTTCCGGTGGAGGGGGCGGTTCTTGTTGCTGTGATATTGCGTTCGGTACATTTGCAATTGTTTGATCTGACAAAATTATATCGGAATCATTCGCACCATTTTTGTTATTAGGATTGTTGTTACTGATAATGTTGGCAGCAGCACCATTTAAAGATGGAGCGACATTGTCCTTGATCATAGTTGTGGTGTTTGTTGTGCTTGTATTTGTATTGACTGTGCTTTGTATAACATTGTGACGATATTGATGCGGCTGGTGATGAAGATGATTATGGCCGTTATAAGGTGTTATAAGTGCTGTTGTTGTTGACTTTGTTTTGTTGACAGAAGTGGCCTTGTTGTTGGTTGTTGTTATAGATGATATTGTGTAGGTGGTAGTAGCTGTAGCTGTGTTTGAGGCAGAAGTTGTGCTGATGCTATTGTTTATATTATTGTCTGTGTGTTGTTCTTCGCTGATTGCAATCATTTGTGTGACGTTATAATGACGTGCAGGCATTTAATATGGAAAAACTTTATGGATGAAGATAATAAATGCTTTCACAGACAGAGATACAGAGACAGCAGCAGTGCAGCACAGCGCAAAGCAAAACAAATAAAAATTTAGCTTTAGCTATAGCAGCACAATCTGTCGATCAGCTAAATTAGGCAGGCCGACCACGGCAAATTTTAACATAAAAAAGAAAAACACTTTTGTTTGTAGTATTTACTTATTGTTATTTTTGTTGTGCAGTAGTATCTCCCGGTGGTATTGCACAAATCGTAGACGAGCAGCAAAGTCTAGACCAAAAACAATTTCTGTTATAGTTATGGCTCTTTCTTTCTGTCTTTGTTTCTCTCTCTCTCTCTCTCTCTTTCTCTCTCTATCTCTCTCTTACCTTTTTTCACTTAGTGTTTCTTTTAATTTGTTTATTATTTTAGTATCGGTATGAGTTGACGCTTGCTGTTAATTTGCCGTAACAATTGCTGCTCCCCTTTAAGTTGTAATTGCTGTGGTTGTTGTTGTCTTTTTGCGTGCTCGTTTGATTGTTGTTTGTTAAAATACCTTCTGTCACTTGGATAAGCCATGCGTGGATATTATTAAGAATTCTTCTAATATTTTTTATATTCTTATTGGAAATCTAGAAGACATAACAGAGTTAAATTCAGAGATTACGTTTACAGTTCAAAGGCAAGAAATTTCCATAGTTTTGCGAAGGAGACAATCATTATTTTTTCACCTTTCAGAACACCTAAAGATTCAAATAAGTAATAATAATAATAAGAATAACAAAGTAATTTAACAGATCTCAAATATCCAAAAATTGTATAGAGAAGAGAGTTTCTTCGAAAACAGCTTTGCGATTGCAGATCCAATACAAAGGTGTTTTAATCACTGCCGTCTACCAAATTTTACATTAGCCGAAATGTAAAATTTTAAGAATGTACACAAATAAATAAATAAATAAATAAATATATATATATATATATATACAATACTTATAAGTACATTATATACTTATATATATTAAGTATATATAATGAATACTAAAATGATATACTTGAGCTTTTATGGGAAGTATCCAGCACATATCCATGAACTTACAAAAATATATGCTCCGCATATGAAGAGAAAGCCAGTTTTCGAGTCTAAAGCGATCGAGGAATTTTTTGTCGCACACATATTCCACATTATATTCGACGTCAAAGAAGTAGACAATTCCAACCGGCTTTCGACGACTATGAAAATTAAGAGTACCCTCAGTATTTACCAATGATCTGTTTCTCGATACATTCTTGTGTGGACATACACAGATACATGTGAAAGGACAAAGCTTTTCAACAAGAATCTAATATCCAATTTATGAATTCTAATACAATAAAAGGTGAAGAGTAGGATCGTAAGTTACTAAAAAGGAAATAAAAAGGAGGGGAAGATAAGAAAGAACGAACGCTTAGGGTAAGTGCAAAGTTTTGCAAAGATCTCAGGAAGATTTTAAATAAATTCATATAGGTCATTGCTTAGCTTAGGGCTATCCATCAGAAAAAGGAATATGACAGGATCTGTGCTTGGAAGTCTCAATAGTGCTCGTTATGCTTCTTCTATATAAGTGCCAAAAAAAAAAAACCAAAACAAAAAAAATAGCGACACAGTGGCATATAATAAACATGCACTGTAAGACAGGCACGTATTTACAAAAAAAAAAAAAAAAACGGATTCTACTTTGATCCGATCATTGTAGAGAGAAAAACAAATAAAAAAAAAAAAAAGAGTAGAAAATAGTTGACTATAATAAAATAATAACAAAAGAAGAAAAAAAAAACACCAACAACAAACAAACAGTGCAATAGTTATGTTGCTTCTTCTACTTCACATTGTTATGTTGTTTTACAATATCTTGCTTATGGGGTTATATTGCAATAACGCGCGGGTGGGGTGTTGTATGAGCAGCGAAAGAAAGAGAGTGGGAACAAGCGAGCGAGCCAGCAATCGAGGCGAGCATAGCACACACTGATACCGAGTGAAACCCAATAAGCGACTACATATCAAAAGCACACCATAGGATAGTCGAGAATGTTAGTTTTTTTTTTTTTGTAATAGTGTTGTTGTATTTTTCAAAAGATACTTTTGATAATTTTTTCATTGTTTTTGGTCAAAACTGGAGCTAGCTGCACTTGACATCAAATTTATATAAAATGTATGTATATATATATATATATATATATATGTACATATGCGAATATAAATATAAATAAAAACACACACAATACACGCTTCTAGACAAACATTAAATAAATAGAGGCACAGCAGTAGCATGCCTTAGATTGTATGACAATACTGAAGCAAAAAAAAAAAAAAAAAGAACGCACATTTTATTTATTAACAAGCAGAAACAACAACAACCACACCTACATATATTTATTGATATTTCACAATTATAATAATTTTAGCTGGTGTTTGTGGTTTCTCTTCGCTTTTGTTTTCTTTTTTTTACAATTAATTCACGTTTCTTTCACTTTATTTTTAGTTGTAAATATTTTAAGCATTTGTAGTCTTTTATATTTGCAGTTTTTCTCATTTTTTTTTTTTTATCTGCAGAAAATATTTTTCAGATATAAATGTACTTCTTTTCTTCGCATGCAGCTGTGCATGCAGTATATAGCTCGCCCTATGTGCCTTAGTTATATTTTGCACGCACACTTGTATCTTAACTGGAGCTCTCTTTGTCTCTTTCCTCTCGTACACTTACGCTCACAATTCTTTTTTACTTCCAAATCTCTCTGTCTCCCTTCCCCCATTCGATACCAATCCTTATAGTTTCAAGAAAATGCCCCCAAAAAGAAAATCACGCATTTTATAGTAGAAATAGGAAAAAAAAACTAAATTTATTTTACATTTTTCCAACACCGATTTAATGTTTCGTTTATATTCGTTTAATTATTATATTATTTTGAGTGCATTTATGCTTAAATTTATACATATATAAATAATACATTCGTTTTGTTGTTTCCTTTTCTTCTTTTATTTCAATACTTTTTCAATTCGTTTTAATCGTAGCTTTACTGCAAATTTTGATGCACTTGCGAAAATTGGAGTCGTTTTTTATTTCTACCGTATTCTCCATCAATTTATTACTATTGTAGAATTTCCTTCGTTGGCGTTCTCTAGCTGTTTTTGTATGTTATTCGCTCACCGTGTTTTGCTTCGTAGAGTTGCAAGCTAATCGTATTTAAAAACAGGGTTGCATTCAAATGTATTCATTTTTATATATATTCATTTTTTTTCTACTTTTTCGATTGCATAAAATGTCTTCTAAAGTGAATTGAATTTGAAGCAATTAACTCCTTACCTCTTCTATTCGAAAGGTGATGATAAAAGTAATGTAGTTGATAGTAAATTTTTTGTTGTATTCTGAACAATAATA